GAACCCAATTCAGCAAAATGTTTTCCTCCTCACTTAAAAAAAAGTTTCTTTTCATTGGAAGACTTTTATTACCAAAAATATGCAAAACAAAACAAAACAAACAAAAAAAACCCAACTCAATTCTTATTATATTTTTAAGTCCATCTGTTAAATATTTGTTGAGATTTAGTTCCCTCCTCTGTTGTATGAGGATCTACATAATACCCTTGATTTTGTTTCTTGCCCCATGACACCCAACATATTTACCGTCGGGCCCTTTGCAGAAAATCGTGCCTACTCCTGATCCACTTTAGTAGAATTTTCTGTGTAAGCAGCATAACTTTAAAAAGGTAGATTGCTGGGGGTGGGGGACAGGCTGTAAATGGGTCAAAGTGAAGGTACAGTTTGGGGGAGGAGAAGCAAAGGGTGAGCACAAGTCACTTGTCCCCCCTCCCTCCCTCCCTCCCTCCCTTTCACAGCCCCTGACGAACCTCTGAGAAGCCCAGGGTCAGAACCCAAGCCAATCCTGTCCTCTTCAGAGAATGCTGGGGTGGGAAGAAGGGGAAGGAGCTCCCGGGGTGTTAGGGATTATTTTGTACTAGGCACAGGGTGGGGCTGGGGGCAACACCTGGCTTAATCCTCTTGAGCCCTGTGGGGTAGTAGGTGTTTTTCCCATTTTGCAGATGAGGAAGCTGGAGCTTAGAAAACTTCACCAACTTGCCAAGTTTAGTGTCAGAGCTGGGATTTAAACCCATGACTTCTGATTCCTGGTCCAGTGCTCTCTTGGAGGTGCCAAGCTGCCTCGGATTTTCTTTCTGCCTGTGGAGAATTCTCCAGAGAATAGAGAAAGAGGTTGATACTATTGTTTAGTGCTCTTGGTGGTTTCCTGGACAATCTGCTGAGATCCCAGGTGTCCCGAGTCCAATCCACTTCCAGGGCTGGCACTGCCTCCCTGCTCACCCCCACCCACTGGCTGCTGGCCTCTAACCCTGAGGCCCCGCTCAGGACCCTAATCTTAAATCCTGAGCTGCTGGCCCCTGGTAACTTGGCCACAAGGCCTGGAGGGTAACAAAGTGTCCTTCCCACCTTGGGTTGAGGTTTATTTGGCACCATGGGGGCAGGGCACACCAGCTAGAAAGGAGAGCTTAGCTGCTGAGGGGCTGCAGTGGGGCTCTAGGAGGCACAGTGCTCTTACCAGACTTTTGCAGGAGCTCTTGCCAACAGAGAGAGGAGACAGGGCAGAGGGGAGAGGGCAACTGAGGGGGCCAGCAGGGAAGGGCACTGAGCCCTTCCTGGCAGGAGGAGGGGCTCAGGGCTGGAGGCTGATGAGCCTTACTTAGCCTGGTGGTGACCACTCTGGGCACTTGGAGCCACCAGGCCCCAGTCCGACCCTGGCTCTGCTGCTGTGAGCTGTTGGGCTTCGGAGCAGTGTTGTTCTCCTGAGGTCCGTTTCTTCATTGTAATGGTCCCTGTCTCACAGGGTTGTTGAAATACCACACGTGGAATCTGAGTCTCTTCATGTTTTCCAGCCTTCTGGGGTCCCATCGTTAATGTCCAAATAGGAAAAATGAGCATTCCATTCCAGGGCAACAGGAAGTCCTGTTCCTGACCCACTGATTCTCCCCAGGGAGTGCTCACATCCTCCTCTACCGCGGGGCCTTGAACTCAAGTACCCCTTTCTCCTTCACAAGAGGCTGCGCTCCCTCTGTGGCCCTGTCTCAGGCAGGAACCCAGGCCCATTTCTGAGTGCCTCCCTCACCACTGAGACTGGTTAAAGGGTAAACTGAGTTTCATGTAAGGTTTGGGGACAGTGAGAGGAATTTCGACACAAAGAAGGAAAAGGCTTAATGCAGGAGAGAGACACCTCTGTTTCTTGATCCCTGACCTCTGTCATGATACTGGGGCCTTCCAGGACCCTGCCCCAGCCCCAAACCAGCACCATGCTTTCTCCTTACCATCCAAGGGAGACCCCCGGTTCTTTCACAGACAGACAGCGTATTGTTGTTGCAACCTCTGCCTCAGTGGTCTCTAGGTCTCTCTTTTCCAGAATCAAAGGCCCTTTAAAGTTTCTTCCAAAACCATCTCTGACATCCCTTCCCCCTCATTCCTGCCACAGATGTAAGGGACATAGCCTGGCGGGGGGGAAGGATCTATCAAATGCCACAGGTGTGGACATCATCATGCTAAAAGCCCAGTAGTCCAGTTGCTTAGAAGAGCTCACATGGAGGAGCCGGGCTGGGCAATCAGTGAGATTCCTTGTGTGGGGTAGGCAGGCAGGTGGGAAGTCATTGTCCTTGTGTCACAGATAAGAGGCACAAGGACCTAGTCCCAGCCTTTGCAAGCAGGGAGGCCAGATAGAGTGGAGGTAAGGCTGTGTGTCCACAGGCATTTGTAAACATAGATCCAAGTAACAATCTTGAAAAGATTCTTAGAGAAAGATTTTAAAGGCAACTTAGAGCCAGCTAACCGCAGCATTTCCAGAGTTTGGGGTCATGAAATTCTTTCTGATGTTTCATCTGAGCTCTGACATGGGATCTTTCCTGGGGTCCCACATGTCTGAGAAACTGTCAGCTTCCGGCAGGCCAGGAAGCACTGCCAGACCCTGGCTAAGCTGGCCTGGCTCCACTGCACCCCACCTCCCCCAAGAGCCCTGTGGGAAGGTCTGTGGCTGGGCCATCTCTCTGGGCAGCTGAACCACACCTCTCCAATACACATCCAAGAAACTGTCCCCCAGGCTCAGGGTCAAACCTGGGTGCCAATCCCAGCTTTACTACTGGCTGCCTGTGTGACCTTGGGCAAGTTACTCCACCTCTCTGAGCTTGCTTTTTCTTATCTTGGAAATGGAGAATGGACCACCTACTTTATCAGGCCAGGATTTAAACTCAGATCCCTCCTGACTCTAGAGGATTGAATGAGATTATGACTGAAACGGTAGACACAGTGGTTGTCATTGTGGGCACTACCTCTGGATCACAGAAGCGTTTTAAAACAAACTCACATGCATGCATACGTGCCAGAGATTCAGATTTAGAAGGTTTGCAGTACAGAATGTACAACTGGATCCAAGATCATTCCCATAAAATGGTACTTGAGACGCATAGTAGGCTCTTAGAGATGTTGGTTTATTCCCTTCTTCCCTAATAACAAGTCTCTTTATTATCTTTTGTCCAGTTATGTATTATTATTTTTTATAATGCCAAACAGATTTACTTGTATGTACAGCAATGGGCATTCTCACTGACCTGGGGACCTACTGCAATGGGAAGACTTGCTGTGTTGCCTTCAGATGTTAAGTCTCCTTATCTGACACTTCAGCAGGCTTTTTAAATGGATCTTCATGCTGGGCCTGCTTTTCTCATTTCTAATTTCTTATGATGTGCAAGCTGATAAACCAGATAGCCTGTGTTCCTCCTCTGTTTGTCCAGGTACTTTCCCGTGAAATGTGAGATCAGTTCCACTGTTTGCAGAAGCCACGTTCTTCTGGTCTTTCTGGTTAACACGTTCTTCAACTCCAGAGCAGACCCTAGAGCTTGTATGCCTGTTCCCCAGTCACCTGTCTCAGGCCTCTTAATCCGTGGAAGGCAGATTTCACCCTCACATTTTCTTAGATTATTTTAGTGTTCCCTCTTCACCTCAGTGTGGTCTTCAAAAAAATGCAGGAAGAAGAGGTGCTTCTGTGTCTTCACACCATATGGTCTAGTAACATCATAGATAAATAAGCATCACTGACATGCAGCTCATAAGGTACCCCTTGACTAATAATAGCCCTACACTCTTCAGAGAGGGGGCTCTGGGCCTGGGATGCCATCTCAGCATTATAGAAGACCAGGCATAAAAAGTGCTACCCAGCCTGTTATGTTATTTTTACCTCCTTCCCTTTGCTCGCACTAGACCCCTGCCGGGAGTCCTTCACCCCGACCCCCACTCTGTCATGGTGTCTACCATGCTCAATGTTCCTTTCTTGCCAAAACTACCCTCTTGTCCTTTCTCCCCAGACCCCTCACAGCCCCTTGCCCCATAGAGCTGCACTGAGTGGAGCGGATCCTTGTACGGGGGTGGTCCCTGATTGGAACAGGGATGGTCACTTGACTCAGAGTGACGGATGCACTGGCTAGTTGGTATCCTATGAGACAGCTGGGCTGAAAAAGCTCTGCCTACTAGGAGCAGTGGTAATTAGCTAAAATAGCTTCTCTCTGAGACTTGATGAGGAATGTGAGGAGGGAGTGGAGCTACCACTGAAGTTGCAGTGATTCCATGAGCTAATTCCTTGATGGCCTCTGGGTTCACTTTCCTTTCCTGTGTGGGTCCTTCCCATGACTGCCTCCCCCTCGAAGAGTTTGGGGAAGCACACTTTGCCTGTCTTATCTCTGTCCCACCCATGCGTGGGCCTCCAGTTCCGCAGGTGCTCGGGTTTTGCTTGCTCCCAGAAGCCTGCCCTGACTACTGTGGAGTGTTGACTGCAGGCAGGGTTGGAAGCATCTGCTCTATGTTCCACAATGTTCCACAGTATGTTGTGGATTTCCTAGTTGCCATTATTTACCTTTATGTCTGCTTCCACCCTCTTCTGCATCATCCCTGAAGAAAAGCTACCCTAAAGCAGCTCACAGTCCAGAGAGCTTTCTGATCACAGGACCTGGAGGTCATTCTCTTTTATTGCCCAGTGCCTTACACAGTGATAGGCTCATAGTAGGTGTGCAATAAATGTTTGAATGAATTCTGGTTTCAGTTGGCTCCTATTCTGGGGTTAATTCTGGCTTTGTACTTTGACCTTAGTCAGGTTTCTCCTCCTCTCTGGTCCCCAGTACCCTTCCCCCCTCAGCTCTAAAATTTCATGAGTCTATGAAGTACCAATCAAATGTGTATTATGTAGGAGATGCTTTAATGGGCACTAGGGTGGGGAGACGTGTGGATGCAAAGATACCGTTTATATTTCTAGGAGCTTCCAGAGAAGTTGCAGAAGTAAATAAGCAAATAGATACACATACAAAAACACCCCGTGAGAGTATCAGGCTCAGCAGCAATTCAAGAGCTGTCAGAACATAGTAGAGTGGAAAAAACACACAGACAATACATGTGGTACCAGCTCAGGACCTGGCTCCTTCGTGGCCTGGCACAGCCAGGGAGGTGGTGGGAGGTGGGACCTCAGTGGGACACTGAACGGTAGGTGGAATTTGGATAGGCTGAGCAGGGAGGGTGGGTATTCCAGGTGTAGATGGACTTGAACCACCTAAATGGACAGGATAATGCAAGGTGTGTTTGGGGGAGTGGGTCCCGAGAGGCTGGATGAAGGGTCTGGCAGGGAGGCAGCAGGCAACCCCAGAGTAGCGAGCAGAGGGTGGACAAAAGCCTAACCCAGCCATTAAAGTTTTTAATAATACTGGCCACAGGAATAGGGGGAATGGTATAGGTGTAGGATAATGGATGATTTCATTGTTTTTTACCTATATTTTTCTGTATTTTCTAAATTGAGAAAGTTGAAAATGTATTTCTTATGCCACATAGAACAACTTGCTTTTTAAATATTTCATGCTCAGGAGTTCGGGCTCCCGACTGGTTTGAGCTGGAAGGAGGGTCAGTGGGATTGGATGGAGAAAAGGGCAGGGGAGGTGGGTGAGGGAGCAGTGATCGTGTAGAGAATGTGAGCTGACGAGGACCTGGAAGTGTCACAGAGGAGGGATGACGGCGTCTCGGCCTGCCTCCTTCATGCAGACAGAACGGACTCGGTGAACCCTTGCCGAAGGGTAGTCAGGCAGGGTGACAGCGGCTAAAGGGGAGGGAAAGAGACGGTGAGGATTCCATTCTGGTACTGGCAATGGGTCTCCCATCCCCTTTTGCCAGAACATTCTGGCAGAGATACCCCAGTGGGTTTGGAAGGAGTCATTTGTCATCATGCCATTAGAATTTAGACTGGACAGGTCCCACAATGCCATCTGTCTAACCCCTTCAGTGCACTGTGGGCTCTCAGAGTCATTTTGAAATGTTAAGTAGTCTGTTCCCCACAGAAGTATTCACAAGTTATTATTTCTTGGAGTGACTTGACTTCTTTTTCTTTTTTTAGATTTTCTTTATTTATTTTTAGAGAGAAGAGAAGGGAGGGAGAACAAGAGGGAGAGAAGCATTGATGTGTGAGAGAAACGTTTACTGGCCTTCTCTCACATGCCCTTATCTGGGGGCCTGGCCCACACCCCAGGCATGTGCCCTGACTGGGGATCGAACCAGCTACCCTTTGGCTCACAGGCTGGGGCTCCCTCCACCGAGTCTCATCAGCCAAGGCAGAGTGACTTGACTTTTAAAAAGTCTGCCCTTTAGGGAACGTGTCTATTGGGTGAAGTATACCTGTACATATGACAGCTCGAGTCCTCATTCTAGCTAGTGCTGGCTTTTGGAAGCTCTTCCTACATAAGAACTTCCAGAAATAAGTCTGGGGAAACTTTACCCAATGCTTGGAAGAAAATGACCATTAACTGAGAACAGAACTTGAACTATTTAACTGTTAATATTTGCAGGTGCTCATTTAGTAATAACAACATTGTACATGTTCTTTTCTCTCAGTGGAATTGCCTAATAGCCAGCACCTAGCGCATTGCCAAGGTTAGCTGACGCTTGCCGATATGGACCGGCATTGGGATGGTTGCTCTTGTAAAACTGTCCTCTGTGCCCACAGGTGCATGTCTCTAATGCATTTCCCTTCCCATTTTGTTGTCGCCTTAGTTTCCAGGGTAAGTGCTTCCAGGCCACCATCTGTCTAAGCCATGTCCTCTCTATATTCTCTCTGATACAGAGTCAGGAATGAGTGGCTGGCAGATCAAACTGGAGGGTGTGGCTACATTAGTCCCATTATTTTGTCCACTCTCCCTGTCCAAATCTCTCTCAATACCTTCTAGCCTTTCTCCCCTCTGACTGCTGTCCACATCTTTTAATGAGATGTTCTTTTCCATCTTCTGAGCACCTTCTCTCTCATATCCCTTCCTCTCTTCCACTAGTTCTACTCAGGCCTCAAGGCCAGTGAAATAACCTCCTTTTCCTTGTAAGCCTTCTCATAAATAGTTGCCCCAGTTGTCTCTCCACCCAGCTTCAAGCATCCACAGCTCTGGGAGTCTGTGCCTCAGACATAATTCTTCTGAAGTAGAAGGTTTTCTGAGGGATCATTCTGTATTCCTAGCCAGGCTGTGAGACCGTTGAGGACAGGGGCCAAAGTTTACCTTTCTCAGTGTTTTCATTGCCTCCAGTGTAGGGTGGGATGCTCAGTAAGCATTGCGCAAACACAGGGACCAGTGCGACCATAAACCGCTCAGTCAGCTCAGCCTCCAGGGCTTAAGTTTGCGTCTTCCAGCCCAGGAGCCAGTAGCAGTCAGCAGCATCATTTTTTATCACAGCTCTGCTCACACGACATTCTTTGTTTGTTTGTTTTTTGTCTGGAGGGGGCGGAGCAGGGGAACGGGCCAAGTGTGCAGAGCTCTTTGACATCTCAGCAGCTGTACAGAATGCTCACTTGTTCTCCCTCTCATGTACCAGAATCGCTCCACATCCCAGCCTCTCTCTGCGCTGGGTTAGCCTAGTGACTTCTGTCTTGCTCTTGCTTCTCCAGGAAGTGGCTGAGCCTGGTTCTGTGAAACCAAGTGGAGATACTCCACTCCAAGTGGAGTATCTAGTCCCAGGGAGAGAAGGTGCCAGGGCTTCCCTTTGTGGACAGGCCTAATCTCAGCTGAGAAGAAGTCCTGTTGCCATGGAAGTTCCAGATCGGGGTTGTGGCTTTCCCGGGGTTATCTGAGGAGTAGAGAGGCTCATCGGAGGCATCTGAGCCATCAGATGGACCTGCAGTAAAGAACTTGATTCAAGTCCCACTTTGGCCAAAAGTACATTGTGTGGCCTTAGGCAAGACACTTCCCCTCTCATGGCCATGCCACATTTTGGGGGTGCAAATGGGACCTGAGTGCAGGCCTCCTCACTCCAGGTCCTTTGTTCTTTCCACGACTGCGCAGAAACACTGCAGACATTTGGTATCACAGCAAGTCACCTATCCTGTCCATTTCGACTTGTTCCTTTTAGGACCTGAGGTGCTTTTAGGAATAAGGACTTTCTTCCAGAGACCTGCTGTCAGACATCTATCCCCCAAACATAATTCTCTTATGTTTCCATCCTATCAATAGTTTCCTTTAGGTTCCAGATTTCCTTGGGGCTACCCCATGTGTCTGTCTCTTTTGACAACTGCAAAGAGATTCTTCCCAGAAGAAGTAGGCAAAGTCGCACTGCTTTAGTGAAACAAATAATGCCTTTCTGTAGCTGGGCTCAGTAAAAATTTGTCAGACAAATAGATGAATGAATGAATGAATTCCAGCAGGAAACAAGAGAATTGCTGATACCATGGTATAACCTTAATCATTGTTGTAGGAGACCAGGCCAGTCTTGGGGCGATCCCCCTGCAAAACTAACCATCTCAGAGCAGCACGAACCCCATTTAGATCTGGGGTGATGAAGTGGGTTCTGTCCCTGCTGCCGTCTCAGCTGTTGCTCCATGTTGACGCATTTGACAAGACAGTGCAATGAGAGAGCTCTGGTGTAGGGGTGCAGGGACCCAGACTCTGGTGCTGGAGTTACATGTGCTCAGGCAAGTCCTTCCCCCAGGGGGCCTCAGTTTTCCCATCTCTTAATGTTTAAATGCCTTCCAGCACTAGCCTCCTGGACTCTCTGAGTATGTGAAGCATCCTTGCTGGGCTGGAGCTATCTGTTCAGTCAGGGCCGGAGTCACTCACCTGGTGGTGTGGCCCATGGTGCAGTCAAGCCTCTGGTGCCGCCGAGACTGCTGCTGCTGACAGTAGGCAGGGACGCTTAGCCCCGAGTCATGTTCAAGGCCTGTTTTAGCAACACTGCAAGTAAATATTGACTCTGCAGAATGAAAATGGAAAGCAGAGATGACTGCATGAACTCACTTAAAGGGTAGAAGTTCACCAAGCCCTGATAAGACAAGATGTAGTTATGAAATGTGTAGGTGTGTCACTAACAAATAAGTTGTTTAGGGGTGGGGAGAACAATCCATAGCTGCTGTCCTGTCGGCACTGGCTGGCCTGCTTCATCTTCTGTCTGTTTTAAATGTGTTTTAGGCATATAGAAAAATGACTGGAAGGAAATACACCAAGATACTTACATTCTCACATTCTCTAGAGATGGTGAAATTGTCACTAAGTTGAATTTTTTTCATATGCTTTGTCTATTTTCCACACTGTCTACAATGATCACATATTATTTTGTAATCAGAAAAGTATTAGAAATACTTTTAGAAATGAAATATTTTTCTTTGAAGGGTCCGAGCTTTCAGAATCTTCCAGGTCCCTCAGATCATTGTGTTTTGTCTACTGGACTTTGTATAGTAACATAGCTGTCAAGAGAAGAGGCCAAATGGGAGAAGTTATTCTTCTAAATAAACTCCGATCTGAGTGTGTTTACTTATTAATTTGTACTCATGAAAGTAGAATGATGGTGGGAAAAATTCCGATCACTTGAGACTTTAGGATTTTTTTCCTAAGTAAACAAATACTTACTGCTTTGAGTGCTTTCTGTTTGCCAACCCTGTACTTCAGTGTCCAGGCCCGGCTTGGCCCAGAGATGGGCAGTCTGAGAACAGGGCACTCTGACTAGTGGTTACCTTTGAGCCAAAGGTAGGAGGAACCAGGTGTGGAGGAGGAACTAGGCCTTAGAATTTGTAGCATGGGGGTGGGGGTTCCCTTATAATAATAATTACCACTGATTAGTCACTAATCATCTACCAGGAGCCTTCCATATATTATTACTACTATTTAGAAAACTTTGTGTGATAAGCATCAGCTTCCTTTCAGGGATGAGGTAACCAGGCCGGAATTCAACTCTCCACAGCTCCAGAGCCAGTCAGCAGCCAACCCTGGGTTCAAGCCCATGTCTGCTCGACTGCGAAGCCTTTACTCTTGCCACCGCACCAGGCCACCTCTCAGTGGTTTAGGGTTTTGCACTAGAAAACAGAAACCTCCAGAGGGAGCCTGGGCCAACAAACAAGGACTTAGGGTTTTTGGGGGACTGAGGCAGCCCCAAGTGTGAAACATATTTTTCTGTCCCTGGGGGCCCACAAGACCATATAGCACAGGTGGGCCTCCTTTGAGGCTCCTTCTGGCCAGTCCAGAGGACCCTTGGCCTTCATCTTTGGACTGCTTATGTGGTGGTGGTGGGACAGAAAGAGAGAGAGAAACACTGATGCGGCAGAAACATTTCCTGTATGTGCCCTGACCGGGGATTGAACCTTCAGTGTAGGTATGTGCCCTGACCAGGAATCAAACCTGCAGCCTTTTGCTGTACAGGACAACGCTCCAATCAACTGAGCCACCTGGCCAGGGCATGGTGTTTAGAGTTTTAGCTGGATTAGCAGATCTAACTTCTGAGTCTGCAGCAGTGGTTGCCTCTTTGGGCTCACAGATCCAGTCCCTACAGCCCTTAGGGCCAGGCACCTCCCCCGGCTCCCCACCTCCCCTGGAACTCTCTCTACTCTCGAACCCTCAGTGGAGAATGCCGTGCCTGCCCCCATCGTGTGGGAAGGCCTGCCTTCTGAGAGTGATTGCCTTGCAGTTGGATTTCAGTTAGTTTGTCTCCACTTATTTTATTTTCTTAGGAGAAAAGATGTGTGTTTGGGGGGAGGGACTGAATTGTGATGTGTGGTGTTTTACAAAAACTGTTTATTTTGGCCCAAGCAGCTGCGCTGATTGAAGCCCAGTGGTGCCCATTATGGAAATGCCTTACCCTGTGGTTCTCCAGAATGGCGGCTGGAATAGTTTTGGTTTCCTGGCAAAGCCATAGCGGACTTTGAAATTTGATGGAGAAGGTTTCCAAGTTACTGGAATCGAAAGGAGCGGTGGCGTTTGTATACTTCCTCTGGCCCAGGGGTTCATGTGCCTCTGAGGCCCACACCACTGTACGTGCCTTTTATTTCTTACACGATAATGAAAATCCTAGTAATTACCGACAGTTACGTACATTATCTCATTCGGCTCTCGTGGCGGCATTCCTAGACAGGCAGAGGCTGTTTACCCCCTTTTACAGAAAACCGAGCCTCGCGGAGAGTAAGCGGCCTGGTGACACAGCTGGGAAGAGGCAGTATCAGAAGTTAAGCCAAGGTTTTCCGACTCCAGCCCAGGAAAGGCAAGGAGGTTTGCACCCAGGAAGATGTGGGCCTGCCGGTGTCCTGGAATGCAGGCTCTCTGGGCACAGGTTGACATGAGTACTGCCGGACCTCACTGTGACTGCCCTGGGTCCCCCAGGGCCAGCCGCTGTAGAAAATGGGACAGCCTCCGGGGAGGTGCAGTTTGGGGCTGTGCGTGCGGCTTCGCCTTCGTGGTTGCTCTCTGGTCTCTACTGTAACTGCCCTGCGAGACAGCAGGGGAGGCAGATGCTGTCAGCCCCACTTTACAGACGAAAAAACTGACATGTCAAGAGACAGGATGATTCACCCAATGTCATTTATTCATTATTCACATTTAAAAATATTTTGTAAAGGTTTTATTTATTTTCAAAGAGAAGGGGAGGGAGGCAGACAGAGAGGGAGAGAAACACTGACATGTGAGAGGCTGGTTGCCTCTCGTGCACCCCCATCTGCAACCCAGGCGTATGCCCTGACTAAAATTGAATCAGTGACCTTTTGGTTTGCAGGCCGGTGCTCAATCCACTGAGCCACACCATCCAGGACTCACATAAAAATATTTATTGGGTGCCTATTAGAGGTACATAGGGGACTGAGGTCACAGCTAGTGACTGGGAAAGGAGGGAATTGAAGGCAAGTAAGAAAAGGGAACATAGTAGGTACTCAGCTCTGACTGCTGAGCCAGAGCCCTTGAGGACAGCCCCTGCTTGTGGGTCTCTGTGTATCTGCCGCGGCAGTGAAAACAGGGTGGGCTCAGGCCAAAGTTCCAGAGACACTTTGTCATTCATGTGAATAATGATGATAGTAATTACTACCATTTACTGTCCTCCTATTGTATAGTGAACCCTAGGCTGGGCAGTTCACATGTGCTGTTTCTAATTGTCATAGTAACCTATGTGGCAGTGATTATTTACCCCACTTTACAGATGGGAAAACTGAGGCTCAGAGAGATCAAATCACTCAATCACTCATATCCCAAGTCACCCTGGGATTAAAATCCAGTCAGTTTGGTTCCAAAGCCAGAGCACTTTCCACTGACCTACACTGCTTCTCTCTGATGATGGATGCCAAGAAACTTGCTGGGAAAGAGTGGCTCAGTTACCTTTGGGGAGCTCATGCATGAAGAGGGTCAGGTGTAGAGGGGGCTGGAGTAGGGGGACAGGATTTCAACTCTGGACAGAGAATCTGTAAGAGGCCGTGGCAGCTGGTGTCCTGTGAGATAGCAGGGCAGGTGGGGTGGGCTTCTGTTCGTGGCCCTGCATCCAGCACGCCTGGAGTTCTCAGGCTACTGCATCCTCTCAGACCCTCCCAGGAGGGTCCCACTACCACAGGCCTCATGACTCGTGTTACCCAAAGATAGGTGACACCTTCTCTCAGAACCCTAATCCTAACCCTCACCCTAAGCACAAGCCTGCTTTTCCATCTCTTTCCCCTGCTGTGTTAGATTTCTGGGGCTGCCATAACAAATTACCACAAATGAAGTGATTTAAAACAACAGACATCTATTCCCTCGAAGCTGTGGAGACCAGAAGTCTGAAATCCAGGTGTCGGTGGGGCTGGTTCCTTCTGCAGGCTCTGAGGAGAACCAGTTCCAGGCCACGTGATGCCCTCTCCACTGCCTCACCCCGACTTACCGTCCTGCAAAGATGGGCCCCACTCCTCTAGCCGGGTCTCCTCATCCTTCCCCGCCTGCTCCTCTCCCTCCCTGCCTCTTGCTTCTTTGGTAATTTCTCTCTCTTCCCTCAACTGTGGCATGTCTTGTTTTTATTTAATAGTATTCACTTTTTTGTGCAGGATCAGGTCTGCTTTTTTTTTTTAAAGATTTTTATTTATTTATTTTTAGAGAGGGAGGGGAGGGAGAGAGAGACACACACAAACACACATCAATGTGCTGTTGCTGGGGGCCATGGGCATGTGCCCTGACTGGGAGTCGAACCTGCGATACTTGGTTCGCAGCCTGCGCTCAATCCACTGAGCTACGCCAGCCAGGCAGGTCTGCTTTTTTCAATTAGATGTGAGCTGCCCTGAGGCGCTTGCCTGTGGTCTCTGATAAATCCTGTTGGCTCCCCATTGGCTGCTTACCTGGTGGAGGAAAGTGTTTGCAGACTCCTGGTCTCACCCAAGACCTGTTGGGACAATCGTACAATGTTCTACCTGAGACCTTTGAGAGTATTTAATAGTCCAACACTCCAGAGGAAAGATGAAAACTCACGAAGTGGGTGACTTCTTCCTAAATTATCAGATGGCTTGAAGAAGTTGCCCACTTTCTGGGTTCTCATTTCTCCCTCTGGAAAACCAGAACATTGGACTATCAGATGCCGTCTGGCAAACAAACTCAGAAATAAATGATAAAGATTTTTCAAGGGTCTTAGAGTTTGCAAACTTGGAGTACAGCTAGGCAAAATCCCAGAAAGAAAAGTTAAGAGTTCTTGTAGTGAAAAGTGCATTCTTGGGGTTAATCAATCCTGCATTCTTAGCCTCAGGCTTGGTCCAAGAGGGTTACCAGTCAGATGTCAGGCAGCCTGGATACTGGATGTCAGGTGGATGTCAGGTGGTCTGGATAGTGAGTCCTCAAAGGGCAATCAGAGGATTACCTGGAGGTCTGATGTATATCTAGGCATTCACGCAGGATTGGAAAGTTTAAAAATTTTAAGTTCCCAGGT